TTCCCATACTGTATTTTTTTTTTTAATTTATGAAGTAGGATATGAAGAAGTGTCCAAAATCAGATAGATACCTGTTCTACTACCCCCTTTAATGTTCCCAGAAGACATTACTGTAGCTCCTTCTATATATTCATTTTTTTTTTAAAGTAATTACACCTTTTTCTTGCAGTTTTTCATGTCACTTTCTTTATGGCCAGTTATTTCTCACTGTTACAAGTATATTTGCCTATTATAGTCTGTTTTATCACTTCTAATTAATTCACTGCCTCTAATAAACCAGGAAAGTAGATATGTGAGCATTTGCAAACCACGGGTAAATTTCCAGCAAATATATTCTAAGTGAGAATCTTCTTAATCCTTCCATGAGAAACTATGAAAAGCCTTCAGTGTAAAGACACTGTAGTATTTCTTCCACTTGTTCTTTAACAGAACCAGACAAAAGACAGAAAAAACTAAAATGATTAGTTAGGTGGTAATAAGTGCTAAGGAAAAAAAAATCTTAAGAAAAGCCTCACAAAGAAAATGACTTCCTTCACAAAGAAGGAAGAGANATTTCTTCCACTTGTTCTTTAACAGAACCAGACAAAAGACAGAAAAAACTAAAATGATTAGTGTGTTAGGTGGTAATAAGTGCTAAGGAAAAAAAATCTTAAGAAAAGCCTCACAAAGAAAATGACTTCCTTCACAAAGAAGGAAGAGATGATCCATTCTTGGAATGATTTGCTTAAAAGCTAGCAAGAGCTCAAACTAAAGATGTGGTACATGGTAGAACTTACGGAACTGTGTACACACATAAAAAAACCTTAGACAAAGTATGCTTCTGGAGTACCATAACTGCAGATTAATTTTCCTCAAAGCTAAGGTAAGTGAAAGTCTATTTCTAAACTAAAAGGCAGAGGAATGTTTGATCTGACCAAACCCAACTTATTTAAATAAACTTGATCATTTGCCAGAATAAACTAAGAAGAGTACTATACACAAACTTCTGATAAAGAAATAGAACAGCTGTCAGATAATGTGGAATAAAGAATTATGCAGAAAATTTTTTTTAAAACTCCAAAATTAACAAAAATTAACAATGGGACACTAAGTAGTAGACAATTCAAAAAAGAGACATTAAAGTAAGGGTAAGATAGCACCTACTCGATGAAAAGAAATCCTACATAACATTTGCCTGGCATGATTCATTGTGCAATGTGCTTGGGACAATACTGTGTTTAATAAGACAGTTGGGTAAGCTGTGCGGCGTCATTGCTAATCTCTCAGGAAGAGAGAATTTGAGCTCAGGTCCTGTTACATGCAGTTCTGTGTAACACCACAAAGTGTATGTAAGCAAGCCCTTTTTTTTTTAAATTTTAAAGCTAAAATTCCTGTACAATTTTCATTTCCTAGAAAGTATACAGAGAATCTCAACAAATTTCACTCGAGTTATTCTCTTTGATCATAAAGATTTTCCT